GTTATAAACACGCCACAATTACTTTAGCGACAGTTGAACTGAACGCTTCATCTAATTTCTAAAATTGTCGATGAAAAAGTCGTTTCTTCGAAAGTGAGTGATTTTTTTAAAAAAAGTCAAACTCCTTGATGAAAATGTAACCAAACAAGTTCAAAGTACACAAGTTTTGGTAAACAAGCTTGGTTGGTAAAAGTCAAAGACCACTGAGTAGCGGGATTTGCATTTTTGAAAACGATGTTCACATTGCCTTGTACAGTGTAAATATTGCCGAAGACGGACTCCAAGAAATTTGCTTTCTTGTCGTGAGCCACCACCACACTGTTACTTTGACGGACAGTAGTACTGGTGAAAGAGCGCTCGGTTGTGCCGTCGACAAGGCTGTTTGACAGGACCCCACTGCAACTACGAAGCTGGGATGTGGATGGGTGCGTGTTGTAATGACTAAGGCTTTGCTCATTTCTGTGACGGGAGATCGCCATGATGTGCTTGTTTGGAATTCCTGCATTAGACCACAAAGTTATGGCTGTCGCCCTGACGCTGTGGTTGGTGCAGAGCTTCGACAAGGATGCTGCTTCGCTAAAGTTTTTCATCATGGAGTCGAGCGAGTTAACTCCGACTGGACGCGCTTCGTACCAAATGTTGTCGTCAAAACTCCAGATCTTTCTTGGATGTTGAAAAAACGACTCGCTGTTCGGGTTTAATTTGGACATGTACAATTTCAAGGCCTTGTAGCCGTCGTTCACGTCGTCTGTTTCGTACATTCGGGCCAACTTTTCGGTGCTTGAAACGTCGGCAATTCCACCAGGATGATTTTTGGTAGCTTCATACCAAATGTTGTCGTCAAAACTCCAGATCTTTCTTGGATGTTGAAAAAACGACTCGCTCTTCGGGTTTAATTTGGACATGTACAAATTCAAGGCCTTGTAGCCGTCGTTCACGTCGTCTGTTTCGTACATTCGGGCCAACTTTTCGATGCTTGAAACGTCGGCAATTCCACCAGGATGATTTTTGGTAGCTTCATCATGCGCCATCGTCGCGAAGTTGTGGCCAGTTGGGTCCACTTCAAACTTCAAGCTGGTTGTTTTCAGGGTCCTCTGACCCTCTCGACCTCTTCTGCAAAAGAAGAGGACGATATGGAACCACACGTTACGGAGCAGAGAAAGTGGGCTGCTCAAGGCGAGAACTTGCGAGGATTTTAGCCACAGCAAATCCTCGTTTTCAATCGCCGGTTTGTGTTTTACGTTTTCTTTTTCATTGATGCTTCAAGCTGAGATGGCGTAATAGGAATTAGATAGGACTACCGCGCGCGCTATGTTATAAGAAGCTTTTGTTCATGATTCTTGGAACAGTTTTTGCATTTGGTACCTGTCCACGTCTTGTTAGAGAGAGTTAAAATGCTTTCCAACCGTATTTCGAAGAAAGGTGACTCACACAAGTACAACGACGCGAGAAAAACGGAGCTGTCTTCCTCTGGCAGTTCAAAGAAGGATTTACCCGACGACGAGGCTCTGGATGAAGTGAACAAACACATTACTAATGCATTCGGTATTTTAAGGCGTGAGATAAGCAAAGTTCGCAAAGAAAAAGAAGCTTCTGAAGAGGTTGCAAAGAAACTGGAACATGTTCATTTCTCGACGATGTTGAAACTCAATGTTGGCGGTCATCTCTTCTCGACCAGTTTGGAAACCATGAATAAAGATCCAGGAACTTTAGGCATTAGTCAACGCATTTGTTGAGTAATCAGAGGTCTGAAATTTAGTTATAGAAATATTTGATCTGAATGGCTTTCGGCAATGGTTCGGTGACATTGAAAAAAATATTGCGTTCTATGTTGTGAAAGAAATTCTTTATTGTCATTTTTTCAAGTAGTCCGATCTTAGAAACGAGTAATTAACTCTTTGCCATTTGTTCCATTGAATTTGATTTAGAATTTGCAATGTGTCGTTGATCAGCCATGGATTAAAAATGATTTTTCTATTAGTCATGATCTGTCAATTAAACACCTATGAAATATTCTCCAACTTGAAGCTCTATTTAAAGCATGTTCATATTTGGAAAATGTGCTTTGTTTGCTTTCATATCGATCCCGTTGAACTTGTCCCTCATCACGACTTTTCGATGACTAAGGCAGCAACATAGAGTTTTCTGTTATCGTGTTTTTCCAGTTCTGTGTTACATGCCATGTTTTCAGGAAGATTTGACACAAAACCTGGCGAGGATGGAACCTGCTTCATTGATCGAGATGGAACCCACTTCCGGTACATCCTAAATTATCTTCGGACTGGGAAACTCGTGCTACCCGAAGATACAGTCGTTCGCAAGGAGCTGTTGAGTGAGGCTGAATTCTATCAAATCGAAGGAATACTCAATGAGCTGAAGGCACAACCTTTTCAGGATTCAGTGATCCTCTCCTCAGAGCAACGTCATATCTTGATCGACTGGTTGAGAGACAGGCTTGAGAGTGCAAGTGACGATAACGTTTTGTTGTACCGCGCCACCCGGAATGGCTGGAATGCTTCCAACTTTCACTCCTTTTGCGACAGAAAGGGGCCAACGGTAACAGTGATTAAGAGTGAAATTCTACCTTAGGAAGATATACTGAGGAACAATGGTATCAACCCGGTAAGTTTTTATGCATCTTCGCAAATCTTTTAACAACAGAGTTAAAGCGACTAATTTGTTGCCTCGTGAGGCCTGAGCTGTGTGCAATGGAATACCTGTGCGCGCGATGGAAATTGGGCAAGAGAAAACCCATAACTCCTTGCTTTTCTTTCGTGCTTTCAACTTCGGTCATGTTAAGTTGCGTGTCTTAAACAAACTGACACGCGGCTACAAACATTATTCAGTTTATTAAGAAGACAGAAGATCTTTCCCTTTATGCGATTATGCAGTTAAGTATGGACTACACAGTTGACCGAGAAACTGACTACATCTAGGAGAGCAAAGGTTTTCAAATGCTCTTCCCACTGAAGTAATACAACGTTACCGCTCAAGAGTGTTGCTCCACTTGAAGTTGCGGTTCAAATCGAGTTTTACGCAATAATTCGAAAACATCTTGCTGACAGAAGTGGGTTGATCGAAGATGTTTCATATGATACTAACGTGAAGCGCAGAATATAAGTTGAGTTTCATGTGCAGGCTCGAAACATAGATCCGTTGCAGAAAAAATTGAGCTTAATCTCTAGTTAGCGATTAAGGCCGTGCAAAGGTTTCAAATTCTCAGTAATTAGTATTGGGGTTTTATAAATCACAGTTTAATCTACATATTTTTCGTTGTTTTTGTTTAGCTGGAGCCAGCTACAAAAAAGCCCCCAAATCGTTTCTGTTCAGCCTTGTCAACTCTAACGGTTTACCAGCTTCAAAGCTACCGCTGATAACTGGAAAAGAAGGGAATGCAATCTACTGTAACAATGGAAATTGGCCCACATTTGGAGGTGGCCATGATCTTCGTATTGTAAATGCACCAAATTCCAGCAACTGCTCTGTCAGCCTGAATAATTCGTACCAGTGTCCTACCGGGCAGAATGCTGCCACTTTTTCAAAAATATGCCCTATCTAAATGAATTCATCTCTGTTTACCATACTCTTTTAGAATCGTCGGGGGAAGGAGAGAAAGCATCTTTCAACCAGGGAAAATGAGAGAGTTCCTCTGTTAGAAACTAGTAATTACAATTGTGATTGCGTTACGCGGAAATACCATATTCGTTGAATTTGGTTCTAATTGCGACGAACGTGATCGTAAAGAGTTACGTTGCGGATATATTTGTCAGTTTTAGAAGCCAGTGGACTCTGCTGATTGAGATCAGTTCGTTATAGTTAGATTCTCAGTAAACAAGGCAAAGGTTTATGAAACCTCCTTCCCTGGGTAGAACTACTGTAGGGTGCAAGGTTGAAGGATCAAGAAGTGAGCTCCCCTTGCCCTTTTTTTGCCCTTGTTATTGAAAAGTATATTACATAGGTTATCTACTTACTGCTTCAACTTCCTCCCCATATTGGTCAATTCTTAGTTTTCACGGAACGTCATCAAAATTAAAAAATAAATAAGGAATTATCAATCCTTATGAGTTTTTTAGTTAGTACGTTATTAGAAAAGTTGAAGACTTATCTTTTTAAAAAAATAGTCAGTTTGATATGGTCAGTTTTCGTCTAGTGGTAAAGGAAGGTTAAATTTCTAAGCTTTTGCGCGCCACGATATTAAAATGCCGTAATATAGAATAGAAAAAGTGACTTATCTGCCAAGATTTCGCAATCTAAACAGCCCCTGTATAAGAAAAGTACTCATATGGGTGTTTATGAGCCCTAAGAAGACGACTAGAGGCTTTTAATTTTATAGCAAAACTCGATGACATATGTTTTTGTCAGCTTCCGGCCCCTCAGAGGGACACAAACATGGAGCTCTATACAAAGCCTTAGAAATATGAGTAAAAAATTTCTCCGAATATCTCCCTCGCGAAACATCGCTCAGACCTGAATCTTTGCGATCAGATCTGAATCTTTGCGAGACTGTTTAAATATTTCATCATATCTTCTCTCTTTGATTCTTGACCCTATTTGTTAGATGGTTTTGATGATGGTGTGACAGTGACAAATCCTGCAATAAGCAACTGCTGCCCTGGTTATCGCAGAAAAAAAAATTAGTTATTTAATCAAGAAGCATACCTTTTTCGAAGCTTCTAATCATTCAAATAAATTGCCAATTGATGGAGAAGAGAGGAATGGAACGAGAACATGTTCTGCGAAAGGCGAGATGGGCAATATTCAAAATGGTGGGGTCCACAGCTCAATACAATTTTCAAAGGGTAAGGTTGCTCCTTGGAATATATATCAAACGGTAATCAGTGCGATAATTTTATAAACACTTTCGAGATGCGGAACTAAAAGTAACATGTTTTCAGGAAACCACTTAAAGTGAATAATGATTCGAATAAAGCGTGACTAATTTCCGCTTCCGGCAAATCTCGTTTTGGTGTAGCTGACTTTCTTCGTAAGATACCAGATCCTATACGTTAAAGATGTTTTCGTCTGAGTTCACTTCGCGCAACTCCGAAGAAGAAGACTTGTCTGACTGCGATGAAGCTTTGGATGAAGTGAACCAACGTATCAAAGAAGCTTTCGATATCTTGAAGCGTGAGACGAACAAAGTTCGCAAGGAAAAGCGATCGCTCGATAAGGTCGCAAAGAAGCTGGAGCACGTCCATTTTTCGACGATGGTGCAACTTAACGTCGGTGGTCACCAATTTTCAACCAGTGTGGCAACACTGAATAGAGATCCAGGTACGGTTTTATTAAAGCTGTCTTAGTAAGATTTCTGCACAATCTCACACTTTTGTAAAACAAAACTTTACTCCCAAAGGCAAATTATTGTTTTCGCCATTGTTAATCCAGATCTAAGAGATGTATGCAGAATGAATTATGGGTCTGTGCAGAAATCTTACTACATTCTATATCGTATATGTTATAATAAGGTATAGCGGCAGGTGTGTCCTCTAGGGACTTATAGTCCAGCTACTTAATAAATATTCGTGTGGTGGTTGACAGGTAGGTTTTCTTCTAAGTTAAACGTTTTAGTTTTCTTATCCTTGTCTCTCGTTGTCTCTCGTATTATTACATCGTATATGGCCACATGAAGAAATATAGTGGAGGTTTTGATTGAATTTCTTTATTCAACATTGGATTTATACATGTCAGTAATTGTATCGTATCAAATGGGAAAAAAATCAAATGTGAACACGAAGGACCATAGTGACCTCTATTTTTGAATTGTTTTGGTTCGTTTGTGTGCTCAGATCTCCAATGGAATCAGTCATAACACAGTAAACATGGTGCAATATTTTAAGCATTCTTAGCTTTTTTTTAAACTTCAAATCCTAAGGGTGATCAGTGTTCATCTTCTCCTTTCAGTTGTACCCTTGAATCATTGATTTACCCTCTAACCCCTAAGAGTGACTGAGTTCTAATTTCCCTTACAGTGCCTTCCTTGAATAGAATGTAGAGGCCATGAGAATTAAGGAATTGACCACCAATTTAAGATTAAAAAAGCTCCTGATTGTACAACAGATTCTCCTCAATACCACAGGAAAAGTAGAGAAAACAGTTTGGAGAACATGAAACCAATACAAGGGTGTAAAGGATCAAGATATTGAAAAAAGAGAGAAATGATCGCCAACCTGATAGGCATTATTGGTGGTAAATTTGAAGAACAGCTCCCCAAAATATCTGTTGGCCGACTTTTGGCGAACGAAACACAAAACACAATGAAAACAAATTCAGACACGAGTAAATAGACTGTCATCTTGGTAAGTTTGAACTTTCACAATTACCTCAAAATGAATTTTCACAAACACCACGCGACAGAGGTAAATTTCAAGTGCGAGGCATTATTGGCCATATCAATTGTCATTTATGTGAACTTGATGTGTTGTATCTGACTGACACATTTCATTCCACTGAAATTGGAAGAGTTTAGAGGAGCTGTTCTTCAATGTTACCTTATTGTTATAGGAATTCTCCTTGAGAGACCAAGGAGAACAAAGGTACTTTGCTGGGGTGTAAGGTTAAGTCTTTTTTTCATTACAACCTTAGGTTCTATGTTACATGCCATGTTTTCTGGAAGATTTGACACAAAGCCCAGTGAGGATGGATCATACTTCATTGATTGAGATGGAACCCACTTCCGCTACATCCTGAACTATCTTCGTAGTGGGCAGCTTGTTGTGCCCGAAGACAAGATTGTTCGCAAGGAGCTGCTCAATGAAGCAGAATTTTATCAAGTTCAGGGAGTAATTGAAGAGCTTAAAGCAAGACCTTTCAAGGACACCTTGATCTTGTCATCAGTTCAGCAGCAGATCTTGATGGACTGGTTGAAGGATACAATGAAAAATGCTAGCAACGATTATATCTTACTGTACAGAGCCTCCCGCAATGGCTGGAATTCATCCAACTTTCACTCTTGTTGTGATAATAAGGGGCCAACAGTTACAGTGGTAAAGAGTGGAAATTATGTATTCGGTGGATACACTGAACAACTGTGGGAGTCCCACGGTAGGCCCGTAGACATTACTAACCCTGTAACAAGCAACGGAAAAGAACATATAGCCCGCTTGCAGGCAATAGTTTGTGTTTCAGGGTGGCGATTATTCAGTGGCCATATTAGACGGGTGGAAGATGTGGAACGAGTGACAAGGCCTCCACCTATCCAATGTGGTTGCCAAATATTTGCCATGCCAAACCCATGGTTGAAACCACAAATTACAGCCTACATGCAGGCTAAAGTAAAGCACTGTTTTTGCTGTGAAAGGTAATCTTTTAGGGGTCCCAAAACACAAACTGATATCATCTTGAATTGCCTTTAGCTGATGTCTCTTGGTTAATATTGTATTAATTGTGGTTAAAACTAAATGAGTTACACCCAAAGTGATCTCCTATTGTGGCTCAAGTCAACATTGTTAAAAGAAAATCTCTTTTTTTATCTGGGATCTCATTAACCCTGCTTACTTAGATTCCTTGCATGTTCAGAGGGAAATTAGGCTGGAGCCTTGCTTTATAAAAATGATTTTAATTATGATAGTAATAGTGATAATAATAATCATAACTTCAGTTGATAATGATAACTCAGTTAATTCTCATCCATGCTAGAAAAAAATGTTTCCACTTAATTTTGATCCTTCCTCTTAATTTTTGCCTTATTGTTGTAGTATGCCTTTCTTATAGAAACAGTTCCTCTTTATTTGCCTTTTCTTAACAGCTTCAGGGGTTTTCAGAGAGGCTCCAGCCTCCTTCCTCTTCAGTTTCGTCAACCATAGTGGTCTGCCACCGACAAAGATGGCTTTGAAAGCTGGGAAAGAAGGTTAAGCCATTTATTGTCACAGTAACTATGGGCCAGTATTTGGAAAAGGACACGATGTTCGGTTTGTCAATGCACCAAATTCCAACAGCTGTTATGTAAACCTGAACAACACTTATGAATGCCCTGTAGGTCAGAATGCTACTTCATTTTTTACAGGAGCTCAGTCATTTACTATCCAAGAAATAGAAGTGTTCGGTTTTGAAAAGTAAGAGGTTGCCCAGCCTATTCACTCCCAATGGAGACCAAACAATAGTTTCTCCTTACACTATTAATATATTTGTGAGCAGAAAGGCATTGAGAATATGGTAAAATATCAGTTATGGGCAACTGTTTGAATAAAGTTTAAATTCGCAGTGCTGATTCTATAAGAAATGTATAGCAAACAGTGCAGCTTATTGGAAGGGGTTAATGATTATCTTAATGAAAAGACAATAGATTTGAGGTATCATCACTCATCTGTATGGTATTATGCCTATGGATTGTTCCTATTGAAGTTTTTAAATGATAATAATAACAGTAATAATAATAATAACAATAATAATAATAACAATAATTATAAGATCAGTACTAATAATAAAAATATATTTTGCTAGGGTAAATCCCTTATGTTAAGAATGGACATCTTGGGCACTGAAATAATAATTAAAAATAATGAGGAATAAAAATAAGTGAAAATAAGAAAAATATCCTATGTAAGTTACCATATAAAAACTAAAGTAGGTGGTTAAAAAGGCATATTTAAAAATTTGATGCAAATAAATTCCTTAGTCTGGTTTTAAAAGTTACCAGTGAATTGACCTCTTTCAAATGCAATGATAGTTTTTTAATGGTTTGGGCACCTGAATAAAAGCAGCCTTTCTTTGCATATTCCTTGCATGTTAATAATGATAATAATAATAATAATAATAATAATAATAATAATAATAATAATAATTTAATATTTATATTGCGCAAATTAACATGTGAATATGATCAAAT